AAAAAATCAAAAAAACAGAAAATCTAAAAATCCCAAAGCTTAAACCAAAAATTGAAAAATCGAAAAATGTAAGATTTAAAAAATTGCAAAATTTTGATCAAAATCGAATAACTAAAAAAACGAAAAAACAAAGTCGAAAAATCTAAAAATTATTTCGATTAATCACATATTGAAAAATCCCAAAATCCAATGAGAGATCGAAAAATCCAAAGATTTAGAACGCCAAAGATTGAAAAATTGAAATTTATAAATCCCAAAACTGAAACGTTGAAAAACTGGAAAATCGAAAAATCGAAAAGGTAAATTATCGAAAAACTAAGAAAACGAAATTGAAAAATCGCGAAATCGAAACATCAAAAGACCGAGAAGTCAAAAAATCGAAAAATTGAGAAATCTTAACTAAAAAACTGATAAACCAAAAAGTGAAAAATCGAAACATCGAAAAACTGAAAAATTAAAAAAAAATGAAAAACCGAAAGAAAACCGTTAAATCGAAAATTGAAGAATCGAAATATCGAAAAACTGAAAAATTCCAAAAAATTAAAAAATTGAAAAATCTAAAATCGAGAAGGCAAAAAATCGAAATATTGAGATATAGAAACAACAAAAAAGTGAAAAATCTAAAATTAAAAAATTCGAAAAATTGAAAATTTAAAAAATCAAAACAGCAATAAATCGAAAAATGCAAGATTTAAAAAAATCGCAAAATTTTCAAAAATCGAATGAGTAAAACATCAAAAAAACTAAGTCGAACAATCTAAAAATGTAGAAATCGAAATACATTGAAAAATCCCAAATTTAAACAATGAAAATTTGAAAATCCAAAAATTGGGAAATCGAGAAATCAGAAAGACGAAAAGTGCAAACATTGATGAACTGAGAAAATTGAAAAATAAAAAAATTTCAATACATAGATCCCAAAACTGAAACGCTGGAAAATTGGAAAATCAAAAAGATGAATTTGAATTATCGAAAAACTGAGAAATCGAAAATGGGAAACTTCAAAATTAATTCCGAAAAATTGAAAAACCGGAGAATTTAGAAACTACAAGGCGAAAAATCGAAAGAAAACCGTTAAATTGAAAATAGAAAAATCGAAATATCTAAAAACTGAAAAATTTATTCCGAAAAATTGAAAAATCTTAAAACGACAAGGCAAAAAATCGAAAAATTGAGAAATCGAAATAACAAAAAAGTGAAAAACCTAAAATTTAAAAATTCGAAAAATTGAAAATTTAAAAAATTGGACAATCAAAACAGCAATTAATTGAAAAAATGCAAGATTTAAAAAATCGCAAAATTTTCAAAAGTCGAATGAGTAAAATATCAAAAAAACTAAGGCGAACAATCTAAAAATTTATAAATCGAAATATGTATTGAAAAATCCCAAATTTAAACAAAGAAAATTTGGAAATACAAAAATTGGAAAATCGAGAAATCAGAAAGACGAAAAGTCCGAAAATTTATAAACACCAAAAATTGAAAAATTAAAGTTAAATACATAAATCCCAAAACTGAAACGCTGGAAAATTGGAAAATCAAAAAGATGAATTATCGAAAAACTGAGAAATCGAAAATGGGAAACTTCAAAATTAATTCCGAAAAATTGAAAAACCGGACAATTTAGAAACCAGAAGGCGAAAAATTGAAAGAAAACCGTTAAATTGAAAATAGAAAAATCGAAATACCGAAAAACTGAAAAATTCCGAAAAATTCAAAAATCGAAAAATCTAAAATCGCGACGGCAAAAAATCGAAATATTGAGAAATAGAAACAACAAAAAAGTGAAAAACCTAAAATTTAAAAATTCGAAAAACTGAAAATTTAAAAAATCGGACAATCAAAACAGCAATAAATAGAAAAATGCAAGATTTAAAAAATCGCAAAATTTTCAAAAATCAAATGAGTAAAATATCAAAAAAACGGAGTCGAACAATCTAAAAATTTATAAATCGAAATACATATTGAAAAATCCCAGATTTAAACAATGAAAATTTGAAAATCCAAAAATTTGGAAATCGAGAAATCAGAAAGACGAAAAGTCCAAAAATTTATGAACACCAAAAATTGAAAAATAAAAAAAATTAAATACATAAATCCCAAAACTGATACGCTGGAGAATTGGAAAATCAAAAAGATGAATTATCGAAAAACTGAGAAATCGAAATCAAAAATGGGAAACTTCAAAATTAATTCCAAAAAATTGAAAAACCGGACAATTTAAAAACTAGAAGGCGAAAAATTTAAAGAAAACCGTTACATTGAAAATAGAAAAATCTTAAAACGAGAGGCAAAAAATCCAAAAATTGTGAAATCGAAATAACAAAAAAGTGAAAAACCTAAAATTTAAAAATTCGAAAAATTGAAAATTTAAACAATCGAGCAATCAAAACAGCAATAAATCGAAAAGGTAAAACTTAAAAAGTCGCAATGTTTTGAAAAATCGAATAAATAAAAAATCAAAAACACGAAAAAACTACCAAAACTGAATTTTTATGTATTTCGTTCAGTTTGCTTCGTGACCCTAAACCGGCTATATGTATTTTGAAATCAGCACGTCGGGATCTATATCCCTGGATTTTTTGAGAATTTTTAGACGACTTTTTCAAAACTGAAATTTTTCACTATGTATACTCCTTATGCAAATTTCGACCCATTTTCGAAATTTAACTAAATACACTGATAAGCTATTGCGTCATTTTTGCATGTCGGTGCGTATTTGCAAGTTCAGTTCGAAATGCAGAGTTTTGTTCGGGTTAAAGAGACTTCGACTAGCTTCTGTTCGGATAATCGTGGGTTCGGATTATAGAGGTTATATTGTATTCATTTTTGTTAAAAAATAATGGTTTGTACGGCGGTCACTTGCTTAAACTCCATTAATTCACTTTTATGTCAAGATCTTCTTCTCGGTCTTATTTTAGAAGCTACTAGCCTCGCCCACCCACCCTCTTTTCGAGGGTATCTCGTAATCTAATCATAAAGATTTTTTTCAGTACATAACGGTATAGTGTACAGTATTGTTCAATCAAAATCCCCATTAAAAAGTTGTTGACGTCAGTTCAACTGAAGTTTTAATTAAAAAAAAATCATTTATAATAATAAATTAATCTACGAAATATCACAGAAACAAACAAATAAATAAAAAAGAAATGAAAAGTTATTTAAAACATTATTTTTTCCTATTCAAAAAAGTAAAAAACGCACAAACTTTCAAAATATCCTTGTATTTTCCAACTTCCTGGACATTTTTAGATTTTCGGAATTTTTAGTTTCACTTTTTATGAAGATAAATGAATAGTTTTCTTATCATGGAAAGACTTTTAAATTTGAAAATATTATGCAATCTCTTCCGTTGTTAATCAGTGAAAAATGTTGAATATTCATAATGATTTCCATATTTACAGAAAAGGTGTGGATAAAACTTTGAAACAAAAAGTGATTACTTGCTATTTAAATTTTTGACATAAGTATTGACCAAGATTTGTATAAATGTTATTGACTTTGCGTAAAACTAAAATTATTCTTCGATTCTGAATGATAACGGTTTAAATGAGTGAGGCATCAGCTGACGAAAATAAACAAGGTATACTACAATCGTCCCACAGACGTGTTGTCTAATCAGTGGCAACACTAGGTTCGTTGTTTTTACCACTGCGTGTGTTGTTTTTAACCTTATAAAAGTGTTAAACGTTATAAATTCTAACAAAGTTTTTTCCAATTATGTAATAGTACAACGAATTCAAACGTAATTTTCTATTTTTATATTTAGAATCAAGGAACTGACCATAAAAATGAAATTGGCCGACTCAAACATATTTTTGGGCTTCCTATTTACAAATAAATACAAAGTCTCCGTATTAAGTTTTCAATGAATCATGAACTTTACTCTGGGTACCGACACTTACAACAGGTACAAAACTTTGTAAACAATAGAGTTCAAACCGTTATTACTGCTACACACGAACTTAGAAACCATAAATGTTACAACGAAAAAATAATATTTCACTGTTATATTGTATCTAAAGCAATAAAAAAGATAACAGTAAAAAGTGAATCAGTTGCAACACAATAAAGATAACGAAATATTTTGAAAAAAATGATGACGTGTTGATTTTCGATCTTATGGTTTTGAGGCACCTTAAAATTAATGGGAACATTTTTAAACTGACGAATTAATATTCCATCGGTGTGCGTATGGGTGAATGCACCTGTAAACTTTGAGAAAGCTACATTGCAGGGTTCATTTCTACAAATATGGGTTACCTAACCATCTGATAATTTGGGTCCAAATCAAGGTCACCCCGCTTAAAAACATCAGACATGCGAACATGATGTAAGTTTTGTAGTTTTTAAAGCACCGAATTGCTTAAAAAAAATAAATAAAAATTGTAAACAATCTACCGAAGTCCTAATTATTTACAAAATAGCGTCCGACAGGTGTACCACCCGCGGAAATCCAGCTCCACGTGTCGCACAAAAAAAAAATTAAAAATAAACCCAGAACCCACTTTTGCGCGCAATTTTTTATCGCCAATGGCCCCACCGCAACCTCATCCTCCCCCGCTCCCCCCGCTAGCACGTGCCTTTTTATCAACACTGGCCCATTTCTACTACGTCTTTACACCAACACAACAAACCGGCTCCAGGTGGCATTTTATCGAAATTTTTCCAAGGTCAAATAAACCGCTAGTCGGCCAGGTGAACAGTGGCCACGTTGGCCGTTCCGCGTCGCACACCACGCCACTGGTTTATTGCCACTTTTCCTTTCGATAAGAGGTCAGGGGGTAGGGCTTCGTATCACCGATAGGACACTGGCGATGGCGCGAAGATCAGTGGTGGAGTGTTTTTCTCTGATTAGGAGGATGTTGGGGGGAGAACTGTGACGTGTCTTTGTGTAAATATTGAGAAATCACTTACCGACTCAGACAACACTCTCATGCCCGCCATCTTGCCCACAACAAACTGCGCTGACGCATGCGCAACAAACGTAAACAAAGGGCTATTATTGGATAAAAATATATTTATTTTGTAAACAATTAATAGTTTTTACGTTTCGAGATGTCATTTTTTCTTCTTGTGGTTTACCGAAGTGTCCATCTCACTTTTTACTTTATTTAGTAAATTTAAAATTAACGAATTTGTTTGGAAGTCGTTTTCGCTGTCGTCGTCATGGACTTCTTCTTTTACGTGCTTCCGCTTTTTCTTGGGCGAGGACGTCTCGTCTTCTGGGTCAATATTTTTCTTCCGCTTTCTGGGGCTGGAAGTTTCATCTTCTGACTGTTCTAGTCTCTCTTTCTTTATTTTTTTCACTTTTTTTTCGACATTAGTATCTGACTCAAATGATGCTTCTTTTTTCCTCCTGTCTTTATGCGACTTTTGTTCTTCAGGAGCTTCCTCGTCGTTTTTACTTGAGTCGTGATCTTGATCATCTTTATCCCCAATGTTACTAACATCAAACTCAAAAAGCGGCAATTGCACGCCCGGTATAACTGTACTGTTAATAAGGCTCAATCTACTTGTTTTCTCTTTTATACTGTCATCATTTTCTTCCTGTTGCTTCATATTTGTACTATTTTTTCTTTTGTGATGTTCAAATTCATGTCCACTTTCTGAATCAAACTTTTCTTCTTTTATAGCACGGTGCTTCTTTTTCTTTTTGCTTGTGTCTTCACTAAAACTATCAACAAAAGAACTATCTTGTGATAGCTCATTTTTGCTAGTTTTATGTTTTTTCTTTTTCTCAGGCTTGGAACTAGTTTCCCAATCATGTGAATCACTTAGTTCCTGTTTAGGCAGACTAGCGTGACTCTTTTTCTTTTTTTCCCAACTATCATAAAATGATGAAAACTCATCTTGACTATTTTTACGTTTTTGTTTTGTTTCTTCAACATCTTGGACTTCATTCATGCTGTTCTTATGTTTCTTTTTGTGCTCATGTTCACTTTCATTTCCACTTTCCCTAACGCTCTTTTTATGTTTTCTTTTGTGTTCAAATTCGCTAATACTACTTTTGCGTTTTTCTTTATTTTCATTTTCAAGACTGGCTTCTCTCATGTTGTTTCTATGTTTCTTTTTGTTTTCATTATGATCACCATCAGCTTCCTGAACACTTTTATCCTCATATTCACTTTTGATATCTTGTGTAAAAATACCAGAATCTGAGGATGAAGTCAATGGCTCTTCTTTCGTTTTTTTGTGGCCTTTTTTACTCTTTATGTGGGTTTCTAGAAGGGCGAAAATTGACTCATCCACATTCCCTTCATTTTTATCTTGTTCACTACTTTCAGCCGCCTTTTTCTTATGCTTTTTCTTTTTACCAGAATCAGTGGGTTCTAAAGGAGCCACAAATTCTTGACTGGTTTCTACTTCCTTGCGTTTTTTCTTTTTCATCTTCTTCACAACTTGATCAATGGTGACATCCAGTTTTCTTTGTATTTCTTCATCTAAAACAATTTTGCGTTTAAATTCGGCCCCAAATAGCGGATGTCTAACTTTTAAAGTATCAGGGAGTGCAGGTGGAGTTGTAACTTCATTCTCAACCTCACTTTCTTGTTTATGTTTATTATATTGTCTCATCCGCAAAATAGATACTGGATGAACTATTTTTATCTTCCTAGTAAGCAAGTTTATGGGTCTAAGGTCCTCTAGTTCAGGCACAATTACATATTTTGTTTTATTCACCTTCAGCTTTGTCTTTTTATCAAAATTAATTACTTTTTCTAAAAACTCTGAAGGATCAATGGTTTTTGGAATCTCCAACAAACACACGTCGTCCTCATCTGTCACCACATCCTCTACATCCAGCTTTTTCAGATTTTTATTCTCGTCAACGAACCTTTCAAGAGGGGTGAAGGTAACCTACAAAAGAACAATTATTTTATGAAATTGAACCAACTTATCGGGTGTACATTTTTTTTTGGACTTGCTGAAGTCGAGGATTTGCGTTTTCGGGCATCGATTGGGGGCGGCGGCGCCTTGCTGCTCTCGTCAGACTCCGATGATGAACTGGAGCTAGAATCTTCATTATTCGTCGTCAGGCTTTTGGAGATAGAGCGTTGCGTCAAATTAGACTCTTCTTCTGATTCTTCACTTTCAGAAATTTCGGCAACACGACTATTTCTCATTTCGGAAGTTTAATGCGTCACGAAATTTCGAGGTTAGGCTAAATGAGGACGCGCGACATTTGAGGAACCACGTTTTCGAGCAACCCGAAAGTCCCTAGATTTTTGACTGTAGAATATTAAAAAATATATATGGATCACGATACGAAGGCGGGTAGCATTCAGTGCAATATTTAAATATCGAAGATTAGCCCGGACTTTCGTAAAAATATGTGTATGAGATAATATTTAAAAAAGGAAAAAATATATAGAAACAAAAATTATGTTGGCTAACCTGTTGGTGATATATTTCACACTATTTTATTTCTTTGACAGTGGCGTTCCCATTTTTTTAATAAAAATGGGTTAAAACTATAATTTCTTTTATTTGAACCTTTGCACCATGTGCAGTACCTACTTAAAATAATCGTAATTGTATTTATTTATATGATAATAAAATCATAATTTTAAGTAACTTGAAAATCAAACTTTCTTCATAAAAAACGAATTTGTAAAAAACATTGTCAGTTCCAAAGATTTTATTGTTATCTATAAAACAAATGTCGAAAGTAGTCAGGGACAATAAAAGCTCCGGCTACGGAAATTAGATGTATTTAAAATAAATTATAATCTATCACAAAATTATCAAAACACACAACTGTCTTATGAAGTCAATATAACCATATACGAATCAAGTCTTGTGGAGAACCACTCACAAATATAGACATCCATAAAATGATCCATTATGATTATTATCAGCTTCCTGATTACTTTTATCCTCATATTCATTTTTGATATCTTTTGTAAAAATACCAGAATCTGAGGATGAAGTCAATGGTTCTTCTTTTCTTTTTTTGTGGCCTTTTTTACTCTTCTCTATGTGGGTTTCTAGAAGGGCGAAAATTGACTCATCCACATTCTCTTGTTCAATTTTATCTTGTTTATATTCACTACTTTCAGCCGCCTTTTTCTTACGCTTTTTCTTTTTACCAGAATCAGTGGGTTCTAAAGGAGCCACAAATTCTTGGCTGGTTTCTACTTCTTTGCGTTTTTTCTTTTTCATCTTCTTCACAACTTGATCAATGGTGATATCCAGTTTTCTTTGTATTTCTTCATCTAAAACAATTTTGCGTTTAAATTCAGCCCCAAATAGCGGATGTCTAACTTTTAAAGTATCAGGCAGTGCAGGTGGAGTTGTAACTTCATTCTCAACCTCACTTTCTTGTTTATGTTTATTATATTGCCGCATCCGCAAAATAGATACTGGATGAACTATTTTTATCTTCCTAGTAAGCAAGTTTATGGGTTTAAGGTCTTCTAGTTCAGGCACAATTACATATTTTGTATTATTCACCTTCAGCTTTCTCTTTTTGTTAAAATTAATTACTCTTTCTAAAAACTCTGAAGGATCAATGGTTTTTGGAATCTCCAACAAACACACGTCGTCCTCATCTGTCACCACATCTTCTACATCCAGCTTTTTCAGATTTTTATTCTCGTCAATGAACCTTTCAAGTGGGGTGATGGTAACCTACAAAAGAACAATTATTTTATGAAATTGAACCAACTTATCGAGTGTACTTTTTTTTTCGGACTTGATGAAGTCGAGGATTTGCGTTTTCGGGCATCGACTGGGGGCGGCGGCGCCTTGCTGCTCTCGTCAGACTCCGATGATGAACTGGAGCTAGAATCTTGATTATTCGCCATCAAGCTTTTGGAAATAGAGCGTTGCATCAAATTAGACTCTTCTTCTGATTCTTCACTTTCAGAAATTTCGGCAACACGACTATATTTCATTTCGGAGGTTAATGTGTCACGAAATTTCGAGGTTATGCTAAATGAGGACGCGCGATTTCTATGCGCGTGAGATTTGAGGAACCCAGAGATATGTAAAAGACATTTACATATCTCTGGAGGAACCACGTTTTCGAGCAACCCAAAAATCCCTAGACTTTTAACTGTAGGATATTAAAAAATATATATGGATCACGATACGAACGAGGGTAGCATTCAGTGCAATATTTAAATATCGAAGATTAGCCCGGATTTTCATAAAAATATATATATGAGACAATATTTAAAAAAGGAAAACATATGTAGAAACGAAAACTATGTTGGCTAACCTGGTGGTGATACTTTGGCAGTGGCGTTCCCATCTTTCTAATAAAAAAGGGTTAAAACTAGAATTTCTTTTATTTGAACCTTTGCAGATAAACATAATTGTATTTATTTATAATGATAATAAAATCTTGTGCGCAGCTTCATGACGCACGTTTTTTTTACTTATTTTAAGTAACTTTAAAATCAAACTTTCTTCATGAAAAAAACGAATTTGTAAAACATTATCAGTTCCAAAGGTTTTATTGTTATCTATACAACAAATGCCGAAAGTAGTCAGGGACAATTGGATTTTACAATTTCTCGGTTTTCAGTTTTTCTCTTCAATTTTACGATTTTTAAATATTTCGATTTTTCAATTTTTGACTTTTATAAACTCTTTATTTGTCGATTTTTCAATTAATTGGTTTTTCAATTTGTCTATTTTTTCAGGTTTTGATTTTTCAACTTTACTTTTTTGATTCTTCGATTTCTCAATTATTCAACTTTTTAATTTCTCAGTATTTGGACATTTCAGTTTTGGGATTTTTCAGTTTACTTGTTATTCAATTTTTCGATCTTACGATTTTGCAGGTTTTTGATTGTTCAATTTTTCGATTTTTTTAAGGTTTCGATATTTCGACTTCACTTTTTTGATTTTTCGATTTCTCAATTTTTCGATTCTTTGAATTCTCAGTCTTTGGATATTTCAGTTTTGGGATTTTTCAATATTTCTGTTCTTCGACTTTTCCATTTTTGACTTCTGAATTTTTCGATGTGTCGACTTTTTAACTTTTCGATTTTTAAACTTTAGATTTCTTAATTTTTTTGTATTTTAATTATTCAATATTTAAAATTTTTTATTTTTCGATTTCTCGATTTTTCATTTCAGTTCTTCCATATTTGAATTTTTCAAATGTTTCGATTTCTTAATCTTTCGATTTTTCGACTTCCCGGTTTTAGATTTTCTGTTTTTCAATTGTCGTTTTCTCAATTCTTCGATTTTTAAATTTGAAATTTTTCAGTTTTTTGATATTTTAATTTTTCAATATTTAAAATTTTAGATTTTTCGATTTTTCATTTCAGTTCTTCGATATTTCAATTTTTCAAGTTTTCGAATTTTTCAAGTGTTTCGATTTCTTAATCTTGATTTTTCGACTTCCCGGTTTTAGGGTTTCAGTTTTTCAATTGTCATTTTGTCAAATTTTCGATTATTTAATTATTCAAATTTGACTTTTATAAACTCTCAATTTTTTGATTTTTCAATTAATCGATGTTTTGATTTTCCCATTTCTTGACCTTCGAGTGTTTCGATTTTCCTGTTCTTCAATTCTTTAATTTTTTGATTTTTCAGGTTTTTGATTTTTCAATTTTTCGATTTTTTAAGGTTTCTATTTTTCGACTTCGCTTTTTTGATTTTTCAGTTTTTAGATATTTCAGTTTTAGGATTTTTCAATATTTCAATTCTTCGACTTTTCTATTTTTGACTTCTGGATTTTTCGATGTGTCGACTTTTTACTTTTTCGATTTTAAAATTTTAGATTTCTTAATTTTTTGGTATTTTCAACATTTAAAATTTTTGATTTTTCGATTTTTCATTTCAGTTCTTCCATATTACACAATTACTTTCTGATATTAGCTTTTCTGAGGACGTTGTCTTAGGAGAATTGGAAAAACTGTCTGAAAATTGCTGTCCAGGTCCTGATGGCATTTCGGCGCTTGTACTCAAACGGTGTGCTATAGACTTAGCGGGACCCTTATCCTACATTATGTCCTGTTCATTTAAAACCTCAACTCTGCCTTCTAGTTGGCGTCAGGCACTAATAACCCCAGTATTCAAAAAGGGAGACAAAACTAAACCAGAAAATTATAGACCGATAAGCCTCACTTCTATATGTTGCAAGATTATGGAAAGAATAATAAGAAAACATCTTCATCTGTTCTGTGAACAAATCAATATTATTTCTCCAAATCAACATGGGTTTTTACCTAGAAGGTCAACTGTTACTTGTTTGCTTCACTGTATTAATAATTGGACATTGTCATTAGAGCGAAACATTCCGATCGACGTTATATACCTTGATTTTGAAAAAGCTTTTGATCGCGTTCCTCATCGTCGTTTATTGTACAAACTGGGAATAGCTGGTATTCGGGGTCTTTTGTTACGGTGGATAGAGGCCTTTCTTAAAAATCGATGTTTTTCAGTCAAAGTCGGTTCACTCTATTCTACTAAGCGCACAGTCCTATCGGGCGTACCACAGGGATCCGTACTAGGTCCGATTCTTTTTCTTTTATACATATCAGACCTCTTAGCTTTGATAAAGTCTTCCCATTCTTTTTACGCTGATGATGGCAGGTTGTATGGAAATCCACTAGAGAATTCGCAGGCGATTCAAGATGATCTTCAAATCATACACAAATGGACTTGTGACTGGTTAATGCCGTTAAACAACAGCAAATGTTTTGTCCTCCGGTTGGGGAAAAATAATCCAAATACAAATTATACAATTGAAAACCATTCCTTGAAGACGGTTCGTGAAATAAACGACCTGGGTGTCTTAATTGACAAAGAACTCGTATTTTCTGAACATGTTGCACACGTTGTGAAAAGAGCTAATATTAAAACTTATCTATTCCAGAAAATTTTTACTAATCCAAACGGGGACCTAATGAAAAAACTCTTGGTCTCGTATGTTCGGCCCATTATCGAATATGCCAGTGTGATATGGTCACCATATCTTATTAAGGATAAACAGTTATTAGAAAAAGTTCAAAGACGCTACACCAAAACTGTGGTAAACTTAAAGAACAAGTCGTACGAAAACAGATTAACAGAATTAAAGCTACCATCCTTAGAAAAACGTCGTATAGTAAATGATCTTGTCTGCACCTATAACATACTGTCAGATAAATTCAGTATTAATTTAAATAATATATTTGTTATGGCTAACACATCTCGACTACGTGGACATACATCGAAACTGTTTCATGAGGAATATAAAACAAGGTGGCGTCAAAACTTTTTAACCAACAGGATGTTCCATTTATGGAATAATTTAGATGAACAAATTGTTAACTCGAGAACTGTTAATTCATTTAAAAAAGGTTTAAATATTCATCTGAATGATGTGTTATAGAATATTGCGTTATCTACCATCCACCCGAACACTTCTTAACGAAGAAATAGTAAACTGAAAATAGCTGCTATAATGTGTTCCCTCTGACGAGCATAATAGGTTACCTCTGCTCGGTAAAGATAATAATAATAATAATAATATTTCAATTTTTCAAATATTTCGATTTCTTAATCATTCGATTTTTCGACTTCCCGGTTTTAGATTTTCTGTTTTTAAATTGTCGTTTTTTCAATTCTTCGATTTTTAAATCTGAAATTTTTCGGTTTTTTGATATTTTAATTTTTCAATATTTAAAATTTTAGATTTTTCGATTTCTCGATTTTTCATTTCAGTTCTTCGATATTTCAATTTTTCAAGTTTTTGAATTTTTCAAGTGTTTCGATTTCTTAATCTTGATTTTCTGACTTCCCGGTTTTAGATTTTCTGTTTTTCAATTGTCATTTTGTCAAATTTTCGATTTTTTATTTTTCAAATTTGACTTTTATAAACTCTCAAGTTTTCGATTTTTCAATTAATCGATGTTTTGATTTTCCTGTTCTTCAATTCTTTAATTTTTTGATTTTTCAGGTTTTTGATTTTTCAATTTTTCAAGGTTTCTATTTTTCGACTTCACTTTTTTGATTTTTCAGTTTTTAGATATTTCAGTTTTAGGATTTTTCAATATTTCAATTCTTCGGCTTTTCTATTTTTGACTTCTGGATTTTTCAATGTGTCTACCTTATTATTTTTCGATTTTTCAATTTTTGGATTTTTAAATTTTAGATTTTTCAATCTTTTGATATTTTAATTTTGCAATATTTCTTAATCTTTCGATTTTTCGACTTCCTGGTTTTAGATGTTCTGTTTTTCAATTTTTCATTCCCGATTTATCGAGATTTGATTGTTCAGGTTTTCGATTATCAGTTTTTCAATTTTTTATTTGGGCCTATTCCGGTTTCTCAGTTTTTCCGCTTTTCCAATTTTTCAACTTTTAACTTTTTGTTTGTCGATTTCTCTATTTTTCGACTTCATCACTTTTCGAATTCTCGTTCTTTTGATCTTTCAATCTCTCAATTTTCCAAATTTTTAAGTTTTTTGATTTCTCGAGATTTGGATTTTTCGATATTTTGTTTGTCAATTTCTCAAACTATAAATTTTCCAATTTTTAACGTTTCGATTTTGGTCTATTTCGGTTGCTCAATTGTTCGACTTTTCGACTCCACGATTTCTTGATCTTTTGATTTTTCGATTTTCCAGTCTTTCGGTGTTTGGATTTTTCAGTTATCTTATTTTTTAAATTTGGGGGTTTCGATTTTTCGGTTCTTAAATTTTAGATTTTTGAATTTTACATTTTTTAAATTTACTGATGTTTCATTTTTCGATTTTCAGTTCTTCGATATTTCGATTTTTCGATTAGTTTTATTTTTCATTTTTTTTCTCACTGTTAATATCATACACAAATTTGTCACTAAAAACATTTAAAAATTCGTACAAAATAGAACACAGTGTTTCCAAAACATTTTCCCGAAAAAAATCCATTGGGTTACTACGAATTCAACAATATTCTTAGTTTAAGACGTTTTGCTAGTATAAAACAAATAAAGAATTAATTCTTAGTTAAACAAAATATGTAAAATCATCTAAATATGTACTAAAAATATTCGCTTAGTCGTTAGAAAAACCGACCAAACAACTATTTCCCGTAAAAATGATAGTCCAAACCAACCAAATTGCTTCTGAACGCTTAGAGTCGACAATGGCCTGAGCGCGCTCTGGTCTGTAGATCAAACAAGTTCTCAGGCGACGAGTTGTAGTGATACAAGTTTTTCTATTGGCATCGATTATTTAAATTTGCGGTTTTCCAAAATCAGCCTGTATGACGCATCTATATTAATCTATGGTAATATTTTATTATATATTTGACAGTGGCGTGCCCATTTTTTGAATAAAAAAGGGTAAGATCGAGTAAAACTGTAATCTCTTTTACTTGAACATTTCCAATACTTGCAAAATAATTGCATTTACTTATATGATAATAAAATATTCACTTGTGACGCACAACGTTTTTTTACGTGTTTTAAGTAACTTTAAAAAGAAACCTTCATAAAAAAAAAACGAATTTGTAAAACATTATCAGTTCCAAACATTTTATTGTTATCTATAAAACAAATGCCGAAAGTAGTCAGGGACAATAAAAGCTCCCACTACGGAAATTAGATGTATTTAAAATAAATTATAATCTATAACAAAATGACCAAAACACACAACCGTCTTATGAAGTCAATATAACCATGTACGGATCAAGTCTTATGGAGAACCACTCACAAATATAAACATCCATAAAACGCAATGTGAATGTACAATGAAAAAATATTCCTTATATTAGTTTGAACGTCCTTAGAAAAAATTCATCACTGATCTACAAAGTGACAAGAAACATTAACCGTCGAACTGGAATTAAATGAAATTTACAACAAACAAAACTCCAGTCTCGGCAGTTAATATTTTTACAAGTAACAAGAAAAAATCACAATATCAGTCAAGCTTGCGCCCACGATATTTCGATTGTTTTAAAACAGTAGGGCCCCCATTCCGCCCATGTCGCTCTGTTCTTTAACGAAAATTTCGAAGTACTGGTAGATAATAGTGACGGCTAGAAGAATACCGGTTCCCGAACCAATAGCCCCCAAGAAATCGGCCAAAACGGAAAGCGCGCCAATGCAGAGACCGCCGAAAGCTGCAGCCGTAGGAATATACCGATTCAGCTCGTGGATCATGGAGTTGTCTCTGTGTCCTCTCATCACCATCTGCTGCTCTTTGAGTTGTTTAGCGACATCTTTGGCCGAACTTCCCGAGACTTCGATCCATGTCTTGGAGAAGAAGGCACAAGAACCTAACATGAAGATGATGTAAAGCAGGGCGTGGATTGGGTCTTCGAGAATGTGGCCGACGCTTTCGGGCGGAGACAGGTAGTAACACAGCCCGCCTATTGGGTAAGAGCGCGCGGGACCGCCCCCTCCCACATCCGCCCACACCCCTAACATGTTAATCAAGAAGTTCCCTTGGAATTTAACCGCCAACATTTGCGAAATGACGTACAAGTTTGAGACTAAAGCGGACTGCAAGATGATTGGGATATTGGAAGTGTAGAAGAGTTTGATTGGGTAGCTGGAGTACTGGCCGCGGTATCTCGCGCTCTTGATCGGAAGATCGACTCTGAATCCCTGGAAGTATATTACTATGGCGAAAACGAGAACGGTGGCTAGCAAGTTCATCAAGTTTGGTAAATTCTGGCGGTAGAAAGCTTCGCGGAGGGCTCGGATTTTGTCCTGACGGGTTGTGAGCAAGTGGAAGAGAGCGATGACGGCGCCTTCGAACTCGGTTCCTCTTCCGGTGTTGACGGTTGCTGGGGAGAAGGCTTTCCAGATGATGGTTTCGCAGATGTTGGTTGCGATGAAGAGGGAAATGCCGGAGCCGAGACCGTAGCCTTTTTGGAGGAGTTCGTCGAGGAGGAGTACGATGAGACCTGCTACGAAGAGCTGGATGATGATGAGGAGACAGACGCCGGCACCTATTTCGGCAGGGTCTCCGTACATGCCGGTCATCACGTATACGATGGCTTGGCCCACAGTGATTACCATGCCGAACACTAAAAAATGGATTGTTAATTTGCAGTTAATGGTAACGAGAGCCAATTTACTGGTTTAAATCGATTGTCAGTTCAAGGATTTTTACTGTACTTTGCGCTGTTAAGTTTGAACTATTTTTCATGTAAAAGTAGTGCAGCTGCGACATCAAAAGTTAATAACATTACACTTTAAATTTATTAAGTTATTCACAAATGATCTTAACAGCATATAACAATGTTTCAAAAATCCACAAATAAAAAAAAATCTGTTTTTTTCTTTATTACACTTAAGCTAAACGACCTCTACTTATTTATGCATTTATATATTTATAAAATTATGCCATATGTACCCTTTAACTACACATTATGATAAGAGCACAAGAAAACTGAATTAATTTGTAAAATTTTCGAGTAAATAAATAAACATAGGTACACTCGTTTACATAACAAATGTAACAAATATTCCGCATTACGCAATAACAAAAGAACGTTTAATATTTTCTAGTCCACACAAAAATGAATTCATAATGTATTTACATATTTAGAAATTTTATGCAACTATTTTGAGTCATCGACCTCAATATTTTGTTAACACATCAGCGTATAATTCCTCATTTTTAATCATATTAACCCACAACAAAAAAGGAGAAAACAAAAAGTGAAACACATTTTTTGTGTTTAAAATTGAACTAGAGAACCTTAAATCTGAAAATGCAATGGACTTATTAGTGATTTAACGCTAATTCATTATTGATGATAAATCAAGTTTGCTATGGTTTTTTGGGTAAGTCATTTTAAAACTGAGCAGCCAACTTAGATGAACAATAATTATATTTTTCCTAATTTTTTATAACAGAACATTGTGGTAAAAAAAATCAATGTTTTATATTAAAATATCTCAAAAACGTTAATTACTTTGAGCGCTTATACAGAGATAGCACCTGAACTAAAAATTGGACCAAAGTTGTTTAGATAGAACTTCCCTCGCTCTTACAGCAAAACCAATAATTTTTTTTTAGCGAGGATAACCCTTATAAGTTAAAATAAAAATTGGTCAAAGGTTATTTTGTTTGAGCTTCCCTCGTCCCTAAAGTACAGTCCAACGAGTCCTCTTTTTTTGAAAAATGACAATTTTAATATCCTTTTCCGCGCAAAATGTTGAGCGGATAAGTATCTTAAAATTATTGGTAGGGACAATTGCCCAATTCCAATAGTTACGAAAATTATTATCTGCTTGACACAGATGGTCGACAGACCAAAAAGGGGACCTATTGTTTCGTACTCTAGGGATCATGAAACATCGAGAGATTGGATTATTAAACTTCAGGTAAAGCTGTGCATACATTTTAAATGCAATTTACAAATCAATACAACACAAATATTTTTAGCTTTTTAATAGAACAAATATGTGTATCAATCTGGATAGGAGCAGCTTAATAATATTAATAACATTCAATAGAGTCAACAATTTTAGATATTATATTATAAACAATAAAATAAATAGTTCCACTGACTAATTTTTTTGGGACGTTCTGAATAAAACTGTTCTAAAAATTAAAAGTGTGTGAACAAATTACATGGACGGAATAAGTTAAAGCATAAAATTTCATATCTATCGATTTTGTAGTTGTTACTAATCTAAATATCGGGTGTCTGGAAAATGGCGGATTAACTCTCCGTTAACAACCAACTGGTGAATCTGAGAAAAATAGTTAAAAAAAATTGGTACACAAACTCAAACCAAAGATCTGAATTTTCGTACTTTACGAAGTGTAAAACTTGGAAAAACTTGAAGTTAAAACATTTCTCGACTATACCACGAAAAAAGACAAATTTCGGCGTTTTATCTGCATACATTATAAAACTTGTTGGTACCATATTGAATGCACATGGTGCTCCAACGATCTGATAACAAGGAGATTACATATTTGCAGGTTTTGATATGATCTGAGCGAACTCCTTTAAATTTACACATTCAATCTTGTTTTTGATACTATGGATTTTCTAAAAATTATATACATAATTTGATTTTACTATTTTTTTAAGATGACGTCATCAAAAAAATTCAATGCAATCGTCAATCACGTATAAAGCCTCATCATTTTTTGCACATTTTCGATAGGATTTCTCTCGGCAAAATTTTGAGATGATGTCATTAATTTTTTAGGGAGATAAACAAATATACAGTATAACCTCGATTATCCGAATTAATTGAGGCAAGGTGTGTTCGGATTAGCGATTTGTTCGGATCAGCGAATTTCCCAAAAAGCTGAAAGGGAATTGAATAACAACTTCGTACACTGCTGAAAACAAATTTCAAGAAATAAACCTTAATTTTATTAAACAGAACTAAAGTATTCTTAACCAACAATGGGTTATAGATACATTCGAAAAAAATATTACTCAGTTACTATAAACAACACGTCGAGATCTATATCCCTGAATTTAATCAGAATTTTTAGATGACTTTTTCAAAAACGAAATTTCCCATTATGTATTTGTATTACCTCCCTTATGTAAATTTCAACCTATTCTCGATGATTTTCGAAATTTAACTAAATAGTTCCATGCAGATTTTGAGCCGCAGAAGTCACTTGTGGCTTCATTTCTTCCATAACTTAAACCATTTTTTCCGGAATCGTCCATTAAAATATCGCAATTTTCAAAAATTCCAAAAAATTACAATTTCACAGCGAATTTTCCCAACATATTGCTCCGTTACCATAAAGATGCTATATTTTTGGAATCAGTACATCGAGATATATATATCTCCGAATTTTTTCAGAATGTTTAGACAATTTTTTCAAAAATGAAATTTTACATAAATAACCTACCCTCTGGGCCAGGCTAGTATTTGCCAAAATAAGACTCATTTTGAAGTGCAGCCAAGTGAATCCCACCTCTCTGAAAAATTATCTTTTTTTTTGCTATTTTTGTTTCCTGATAACCTCTATTAAGTAAAAACCAGAGGCGTAAATAACGTTCCTGCATCCTATTTGACTTGAATTTTTTTCTTAAATTTTTCAACTTTTCAATTCAATTTCTAGATTTAGCAATTTTTCGATTTGAGTTTCTCGAGTTTTCGATTTTTAATTTTCTATATTTTTACAATTTTTCAATATTCCAATTTTTTAATTTTTTTGTTTTTTCAATTTTTCGTTTCGTCAGTTTTTCAGTCTGCAATTTTTCAGTTTTTTTGTCTTTAATTTTACGATATTTTGTCTTTGCGTTTTCTTTTTTAAATTTTCCAGTTTTCCGATTTTCCACCTTTTGGACGTTTCCATTTTTAGATTTTGCAGTTTTTCGACTTGAAATTTCGCCAGTTTTCAATTTTTAATTTTTCAAATTTTAGATTTTTCAGTTTTTCGAGTAAAACGAGAAAATACAAATTATTCTACGTGACTTATATTAGGAGAACAGACCAAAATTATTGAAGAATAGACTGAAGTTACATTTTTTATTATAATATCTCTCGTTCTTTGCCGCAAAAAATTGTTGAAAGAAAACTTTGTATATAAAGGAAAAAAAAACAAACATTAGGTCCCACCCACCCAATCCGATCTCAATTCTGATAGTTTTTCATTCCTCACCAGACGTGGGGCGAAATTATTATATTATTACACATTATTACTCTAGAAAATTCTACCCTTTTAAAGACATATTTCATATGGTAATTTCTTATAGAGAAATGAGGATTTTGCAAACTAAACTCCACCCTTCTTCTCACGATGAATAAAGTATTCATCACAATCGAGAAGGGGTGGGTGGGCGGGGCTTATATTTTGTCCATTTTTTCTTAATATACAAAGTTTTCTTTTCCCAACAAGAAACTGATAATGTGTTTATCGATCCTGTTGTTGAAAGAAAATTCTATACACTAAAAAAAACAAAGATAAAACCCCCAAAAAAAAAAAAAATTTTAGTAAAAATATATTTGCTTATCCCCTCCAAAAAATTGATGACGTCAGCTCAAAATTTTGCCGAATAATCCTATCTAAAATGTACAAAATATGATGAGTCTCTTCTTGCAATTTATCATTCCATTCATATTTTTTTGATTCGATATACAGGGTGACTCAAAAAATTTAATGAATGCGCAAATTTATTTTATTGATTTAATCAAGAACTACAAAACCGAATGCTTTGAAATCTAATACGAAAAAAAACATAATAGGCTTGCAGTCGTCACGTTTCCGACAGCGAGGAAAGTACTATCTAAACTCTTTAGACCATTTTTTTTGTAATCTATATCACAAAGAATGTTTTTATTATTTTTTGGGACTGCCAAAACTCCCGTACATAACGTACTGAAGAGTTAATCCGTCATTTTCCAGACACCCGGTATAATCGCCAACAGATGACACGACATACGGAAACGGAAGACCTACTCTTTCATACTCTAGAAGCTATTAAAATGTCGAGAAAATATATTGGTCATTCGTCAAATTGATCTAATTACAATTCTCCCCTAGCTTACGAAATAAAAAAACGCACTTTTATGGATTTTATACAGACTATTATTCAAAGAAATTGCAATAATTTCGATGCATACGAAAATTTTCAAAATACAATAAAAAGAAGATAACGGGGTAAAAATGACATGATGAAACAATTAAAATGTGATATATGTATCGTATAATCTTATCTCTGGTCTAGCCTTGCACAATAAAGTCATTTGATTAACTTTTTTGTTTTGTTTTTAATTAATTAGGTAAAACCTACAAACGTAACTTATATTCTCAATCTATATTTGGTTATAACATGGAGCAATATCCATTTTGACTCTTTGATATTAATAAAATAAACCACAATTTATTTATAAACTTTTATCAGCACCGCTTACATAACCCAAATAAAATAGTTGCTTATTTAACAAGAAATTCTTAACGAGTGCAGTCAGGAAGTTAAGATACGTAAATAAAATGTACTATAATTTGTTCCACCTTTTGGAAAAAAACAGTGTTTTACAGGTGAACGTTGTGTCAAAAATTGGTTAACTTCAAAATGTGTCAAGTTTATAAATGTAAGTAATGTCACTAGTCTTAAGATGACTTAAAAAAGATACCATAAATTTCTATATTTTTATTTCTAAGTGATAAGATCTTATGAAAAAGGTTTTGTTTCTTTTAAAATTATTTGATGTTTATTGTCACTACAATAAAAGCGTCCACAAAACTCAAATTCAATCATCAAAAAAACGAAGGCAAATCCTGTCCACGAAAATTTTCACTTAACCACAGTACAACTTTCAACTTACGTTTCTGCGCGCCGTTGAACAACGCTCTATCCTTTGGTGTGTCCCCAACTTCAATAATTTTCGCTCCAGCTAAAAGCTGCATTATCAAACCAGACGTAACAATTGGTGAAATTCCCAACTCCATCAACGTGCCTCTGTTCGAAGCGAGAATTACACGTATCCAGTAGAAGGGATCGGCTGAGTCCGAACTCATAATACCGAAAAGTGGAATCTGCAATAACCCTTGTAGCCTTTCTCATTTCTAACAAAGTGCATTCTAATACCTGACAACAGACGAGGAAAATGAAGAGAGTTATAGCAGTCCATAATACTTTCTCCCTGAATTGGATCTGTAACATTTATGATGCCACATGTTAAATACAACAGCTGTTGCAATTATATGAATGAAAATTCACAAAAACGTGCAAATTTCAACCCTCAATACGTTAACTAAACCCCCACGCACACAAACGTCGCGAAAATTTCAGAAAACCCGCTGGAAATTCCGTGAAAACTCACCTTTCTTTCAGGCTTGGCTATCTCAGGGAGGATACTGCAGAACGGTTTAATTACTTCTAAAAATTTGACTGGAAAAGAAACAGGAGAGATTAGATTATGGGAGCGAAAATGTGGATGAGCCCTTTGGGGGCGTAATCCCGTAAACACGAGCACGAGGGTGGTAATAATAGAAATAAATAAAAATAGAATGGAGGTTAGATGGGCCGTACTTACTCCCCATTGTGATGGGTGAAGAACTACACTAAAATAGATCACAGATTTACTCGGACAGCCTTATTCTACGTTGTCACGTCAAATATGTGGCGAAGTCCGGATTTACGGTACTTGGTGAGAGCGATTTTGGATTACACGACAGACACGTAGCAAGAAACACCGGTCACGTGACCGATGATGTTGGCGGTGGTTGCGGTGACGGCCGCCAGAGTGGCAAAAAGTGTCACAGATGTGTCAGTTGGTGTATAACTGGTTGCATAACCGCGACACAAGTTGTACAACTATTTTAGTTTTTGTTGTGTACAATAAATTATGCAATGTGCAATTCATTTAAATCGATGCATTTTTTTATTTCCGTATCTACAATCACTTATTAACCACTGATGTGATAAAATTTCCATATACTAGAGACACAAAGTGATACTTTGTGGGAGAATTGCCATGCACTATTTTTTCTACGACACGAGAAAACATTCCAAACGATAATGTATATTCTGTCCCTATTTACTATTATCGAGTTTCATCAACAAAGTAAACCTGATACGTGGTATCTTATCAGAAATTAATTTTCGTGACAAACTAAACAGAATTAGAATAATTGATAATAATAATGCTTTTTCATATGGAATTATAGGTATAAACAATTTGTTAAAAAAATAGATAACGTCAAAATCTTTAGTATATCCACTAATTAAAGAAACTGTTCAGTACAACAGGGCCACATACCTATTCTGGAAAACTTTCTGTAAATAGTATTTGAATTATTTTGTACAGCAGCTTGTAGAACATCAAACTGTAGAGTAACTTTGTATAAGAATAAGACACATCCAGGTGTTATGCAGAGTTTCAGTCTATGAACAACCTTGTTTTTTTTTTATATGTTAATGACATTGTTGAGACTCCATTGTCAAGCATAGTTATATGCGAATGATTTAAAGTTTACTTAAGTAAAATATTAACACTAATTGTGCTATCCTTCTTAGAAACGTTGAATAAATGATGCTTCGGTCGGTAGTTATTCGTAGGAATAAGTGTAAAGTTATGTTTCTCGAAAGAAAAAAGCAAAATTATTAATCGATGATCATTATAAATGGTAAATAACTTGAAAGATGTAATTAATTAAGGATTTTGGAATTATAATGTACTTAGAAATATGATTTATGCCTCACGTTGAAAATGTTATTAAAAACATTTACATATTAGCATCTAGGTTTTACTATTAAGGTAACATTCCGATTTAAAATTACTATATAGTACGCTTATAGGATCTGCGATTTAGTTTCACAATAACTAACTCCCTCAGACATTTAAACTATTCCAAAAAAAGTGTTTACTCATTTTTAGTTACTACGCAATAATCTGTAATTTACCGACCCAAACAGGTTGATAAAACCTAAATATAAATCGCATATTTAATTTCTAGTTTCCTCAAGCACGAAATAATATGTCCAACATTTTACGATAATAACACACCAAAACTGACAGACAACAAATACAACCAGCCACCGGAATCGCCATCATTTAAAGGTCTCCACTTTAATTATAGGCGTTCGAAACCCACATAATTTATCCTGAAAAGATCAGCCTTCGCTTCTTAATCCCATAATTAATGATTCTCAAAATGTCTGTGCATGCATTATCACAAACAGCTTCGACATTTACACAAAAATTTATCGTCTTCTTATCATATTTTCGCGACCCCTGACCCCATCCTTATATTAATAATCGTCTTGTACGACTATTACGCTACTTCCACCATAACAATGTACAAAATCGCTTCACGCACCAGGCACATTTTGCCACAAGTGAAATTTTTGCGATTTTTAAGCGCCGGGGCTCCACCTAAACCCGATGGACCCTTGTTTCCGCATAAGGATGAATTTCCAAGCCGACACATCGGTCCCAGAGAGAGCGACGTCATTGCCATGCTGGATTCGCTAGGATTCAAGGTGAGTCTAAATTAATCGAGATTATGCATATTAAAGTGACAATAATTTAAGAGCTTAGATGAGCTGACTGATAAGGCCGTTCCACAAAACATACGTCTGAATCGAAAATTAGATATCGAGGAACCTGTGGGTAAGTGTGGAATTTTTTAAAAAGGTCAAACGTCAAGAGATATAGAGTTGCTGGGGGTCTAATGAAGTAACTTATTATCATAGGCGAGTACGAACTGATAAACAGAATAAGAAAAATAGCTGAACGTAACAAGATTTGGAGGTCATATATAGGGATGGGGTACCACAATTGTTGCGTCCCGCATACCATCATGAGGAACATTTTTGAGAATCCGGGGTGGACTACACAGTATACCCCGTACCAACCAGAAGTGGCCCAAGGAAGACTCGAGGGACTTCTGAATTATCAAACCATGGTTTCGGATCTTACGGGTCTAGACGTAGCGAATGCGTCTCTACTGGATGAAGGTACCGCAGCCGCTGAAGCTCTGTCCCTTTGTTATCGACAAAACAAGAGACAAAAGATGCTCCTTTCTGACAAACTACACCCCCAAACCATCTCAGTTGTTGAAACACGACTATCATCTCTAGGGTTAAAAGTCGAAGTGGTGGATGTCAACGAATGCGACTTTTCTAACAGGGACGTCGCCGGAGTACTATTTCAGTACCCCGACACTGAAGGAAACATCGTTGATTTTAGTTCGATTACAGAAGCTGCACACTCTCATGGTAACTCACTTGTGGTAACAATTTACCCATAAATTAACCCTTCATTCTAGGAACTTTAGTTTGCTGCGCTACTGACCTACTCGCTTTGACTCTTCTCCGCCCACCTAGCGAATTTGGCGCCGATATCGCCATCGGTACATCTCAAAGACTGGGAGTACCACTGGGTTACGGAGGCCCCCATGCCGGTTTTTTTGCCTGCCACCAGTCGTTAGTGCGTCTGATGCCAGGTAGGATGATTGGGGTCACTCGAGACGCTTCTGGCAGAGATGGATACCGACTAGCTTTACAAACGCGCGAACAACACATAAGAAGGGATAAAGCCACAAGTAATATTTGCACAGCTCAGGCCTTATTAGCAAACATGTCGGCCATGTTTGCGGTTTATCACGGTCCGCAAGGACTTAGGGATATCGCTACTAAAATACACAACCTGACTTTGGTAAGTAGATTAAATTTCAAGCCACGATTTATTAAAAGTGCTTTAGGTTTTAAGACACGGATTACAACAAGATGGTAATATTTTAACGAACGAGCTCTTCTTTGATACCATTCGCGTCGTACCGAAGATCGGAACCGAGGAGGTGAGAAGTCGGGCGAACGCGAAACAAATCAACTTGAGATATTTTGATGACGAAGCTATCGGTGTGTCTTTAGATGAAACAGTAACCTTCAAAGATGTTAACGATTTGTTTGAAATTTTCGGAAGCTCGCACTCGATTGAAGACCTACTAAACAACCCAATGGTGCGCGAGCACTCCATTACCAGAAGCGAATATAAAAGAACGTCGCCGTTTTTAACACACCCGGTATTCAACTCACACCACTCTGAAACCAGAATTGTACGCTACATGAAAACTCTAGAAAACAAAGACATATCGCTAGTACATTCCATGATCCCGTTGGGTTCTTGTACCATGAAACTCAATTCCACGACGGAAATGATGCCTTGTTCGTTTAAACACTTTACCGACATTCACCCATTTGCCCCTCTGGATCAAAGTTTGGGCTACCATCAACTCTTCGCCGAACTAGAAAAAGATCTTTGTGCCATCACAGGCTACGACCGAATAAGTTTCCAACCCAACAGTGGCGCTCAAGGTGAATATGCAGGTTTGAGAGCCATCCAGTGTTACCATGAAGCCCGCGGTGATAAAAATCGGGACGTGTGTTTGATCCCGGTGAGCGCCCATGGTACTAACCCAGCGAGTGCCCAAATGGCAGGAATGCGAGTGGAACCAGTGAGAGTGAAACACGACGGTTCTATAGATGTTGAAGATCTTAAAGCCAAAGCAGAGAAATTTAATAGTCGATTGTCGTGTTTCATGATTACGTATCCTTCCACGAATGGAGTGTTTGAGGAGACGGTGGCTGATGTTTGTGATATAATTCACAAGAATGGAGGGCAAGTGTATCTAGATGGGGCTAATATGAATGCACAGGTGGGTTTGTGTCGACCGGGTGACTACGGCAGCGACGTTTCCCATCTCAATTTACACAAGACGTTCTGTATTCCTCATGGAGGAGGTGGTCCGGGGATGGGTCCCATTGGGGTTAAGTCACATTTGACTCCGTTTCTTCCAGGTCACCCCGTTGTGAGTCCCGGGGGTGACGACGCAAACAACTACGGTGCTGTGAGTGCTGCACCTTTTGGGTCTTCAGCGATTTTGCCCATCTCTTGGGCTTATATCAAGATGATGGGACCCAGAGGGTTGCGCAAAGCCACTCAGGTCGCTATTTTGAATGCCAACTATATGTCGAAAGTGTTAGAGCAGCACTATACCACGTTGTTTAAGAGTCCTACGTCAAATCTGGTTGCTCATGAGTTTATTATTGATACTAGGGATTTTAAGAAAACTGCTAATATCGAGGCTGCCGATATCGCTAAGAGACTCATGGATTATGGTTTCCATGCGCCTACGATGTCGTGGCCTGTTGCTGGGACCTTGATGATCGAGCCAACCGAATCCGAAGATAAACAAGAGTTGGATCGATTCTGCGACGCGCTGATTTCCATAAGGCACGAGATTAAGGAAATTGAGGAGGGTCGTATGGATATTAGGGTTAATCCGTTGAAAATGGCCCCGCATACACAGGAACAGGTTATTAGCAGCTCCTGGGAACGACCCTATACGAGGGAACAGGCGGCTTTTCCGGCAAACTTTGTCCGACCAGAGGTTAAAGTTTGGCCAACTGTTGCTCGGATTGACGATATCTACGGAGATAAGCACTTGGTGTGCACGTGCCCGCCTATTTTGGACGAGTACAACTACTAAGCAAAAACGACAAAACAAGAATGTATTTATTGAGTCAACGCTATAACAATTTTTAAGGAAATATATATTATTTGCTACAACTTTAGAACGGATCTGGCACAGCGCAAAATAGTATCAACGAGGTTTTTCGATAATAAAATGTCTAGTCGACACCATCAAGTCTAGTCATCAACTTCCTCTTTGATGGTGTCACCGATGTCGGGTTATGTAATTAAAGTTAACGCATCAGCAATGCACCAATGCAATAATAATGTAACGATAAAATTTAGAGCAGTCTTTCCCTTATTATAAGCACAACATTAATAAAAATAGTATAAAGTTGTTTTGTCATTTTTTGTACAATCCAAGTTTTAAAGGAACTTCCTTGTTTTGCCTAGAGTTCAGCGCGACGGGGAAAGGGTTGAATATTTTATTCGGTGATTTGGAGTTAGGTGATTTTTCGCTCCGATCTGAACAAGGAGACTTTAAAGTCGCCAGTCGCGGACTCGGGGGGCTATACAAGGAGGCGCTTTGTTCCAGGTTAAGACTTAGATTTGCCTTCGCCGCGCCGACATCCACCAAGCCACTTTTTTTATCATCGTCGACCTCGAATCTATACAAATCCGCTATTCTCTGAGAATCGCTGCTAAATTTGTAATTATCATCCTTCGGTATTCTATAAGAATCAATAGTACTCAGATTCATCGAATCGTATTTTAAGTTGAGTTCGGAAATAAGATCACTTTTGGGCTCACTCTCATCGACTACAGTTTTTATACTCCTCACACCGGCGTTCAAGATCAAACTGTTGTATTTTTCGTCCAGGTTGCGACTCTTCTCCAATATGCTGCTGTACCTTGAGCCGTACTCCGGCGACTTGTTCTCTTGATCTTCGTCGATTTTTTCCATGGCGGTGAAGCATTGTTCCGCGTCGCTTTTGTCTTCCGCGAATTCGCGACTAATACTGCTCGAAATCGTGTCATAGAAACTCGTCGATGATATCGTTTCTCTCGGTGACTCCATTGTTGCCTCCGTCTCATTGTTCGTAGTAACAAAAGGCGGAGACGGAGATAATCTTGACTGGCACTGCATTATTCGGTGCAATATTAACGAGTTCTCTTGTATAATTTGCAGGGCGCGTTCGCTATTTCTCCTACCGTGTTTCGTCCGGACTGCGCCTTCTGCGTCCTCGTCCGAAGGCGTTTTGATTTCTTTAAGGCAACGAACGCGGTCCTCGAGGAACTTCTCAAAGTCCGCACTATCGTCGTCCGACTCGACCGGATCGAACATGTTGACACTAGTTGAAGCAGTATTATCAAAAATATCACTACTAATTTGGCTGTTGGAAGAGTTGGCAACGTCTTCTTCACCGTCGACTTTATTGTCTGTAGTCATAAGATTCTCGGGATTGTCTTTAGCGAATTGACTTTTGATTTCTTCTTCGTCTTCTTCGGGGGAAGACGAGTCGCTGGGGTCATCGCACAGTTCGGTGTCGGAGGATGAAGAACTATCGCTAGTTTTAGGGGCGTCTTTCCAGAGGAGCGTACTCGCGGGGACTCTAGCTGGAGGGATGCTCCCTTTCGGCGGACCTAGACGTTTTGCCGGAACCAGGGCACTTTTTCCGAGGAGGAGGTGGTTCATGGCAACCGGAGCACTAGGTGGTGGTTGTCTCGAGATCGCAGCACTGAAGATTATATGCGCTTGTCTCTGTCTCTGCTTTAACTTAGTATACTGCTTCTTCAGCGCACTTATATCCAAGACGAGTCGATCTTTAGCGTACAGCTTCATTTGTTTATCCACGTTACTGGGGAAAAGCGTCGAAACCGAAGTCCCCCAAGGGTTTATATTGTACAAGTAGTGTTCGCGAAGGCTCTTCAATTCCGTTAAAGGCCCAATCGCTACCACTGATTTGATTAACGAATTGGCGTCGATTAATTCAAACTCGAGCAACTCTCGAGTGAGGACTCCCATGATGCAGTAGAACTCATCTGCACTTCTAACGCCGAGTATTCGATCGGCAAGCGTCTGCCAAATCGCTAGAGCCGTACGGAGAAGAATTTCGTTGCCTTCCAGTAGGATGAGATCCCAGACACGTAGAACCGTGGGCTGTGGAAGGCAATTACAAAACAACGTCAGGAACCTGGAAAACGGGAAATTATTAAAGTGCTTCGTTTAATTACGTCCATTACCATTGCATGGTGAAGACGTTCGTTAACGGAGGTTCGTAGCTCGTAGTTCCGTCTTTAGCTGCGTTTTGCAAAGCATCCAAGTGCTTAGAGAGACGCGGCAAACGGGACCGTAACAACTCGCGAAATACGGCCATATCGACTGAGAGCCCGCGCAAACTATCGGCAAAATACGAGTCGGGAAGCACACCTTCAATTAAGTAAATCATGAGTTTTAGAGCGTCAGTCTCACATTTTTCAGTCACTTGAAGAATAAGAGCTGCCAACATGTTAAATCCCTGACAGTAGCCTACAACAAAAAAGTTATAAAAAAAGTTATTTCGAGTAGAGAGCGCCACGAAGACAAATGTAGAAACACAAAACCATTGTTACTATTGCTACCTGACCGTCATCTCCATTCCTAGGGTAGGAAAAAGTAGGTCCCCATTTCCGCCTGTCTGACTATCCATCTATTACACAATATTATCCAATTTAGTTCTCAAACATCAACTCCAAATAAAACCCTTTTAACAGTTTTGTGTTTGTACAGTTGTGTGGGTGGCGAAGTCCCTTAAAGGCCACCTACCGACCGCCTTGTTCCAGCGCGCGTAGGCCAGAAGCACCCTTTTGAGCAAAGCTTGATTTTCCTGTCCATCCTTTCCGCAGAAAAGGCTGCAGCCTGTCCGATGCAAGTCCTTCACAATCTGGACCCCCAGTTCTGAATCCGCCGGGTGAGACCACTCACTGAAGCAGTTCCTTTCAACTTTAGGCCAGTCGATGCCCCTCGCGGCCAAGTGCTTATCAGCGAGTGTGAGCCACAATCTCCTGCGAAATTCCGGGGGTATGCCCCCGGACAATTGAGCCACCATCTTCATAGCCGCCGACCATTGAGAAAAGCCGGACTCTCCCGGTGCCGGCTGGATGGAGAACCGCATCTCCGCTCCGTCCGAGCCGCTTCCTGCGAAGAAGCGCTAAATTACCAAGGTGTTCACATGTTCTAGGATAATAAATAAGAGTCTTGTTGCGGCGGAGAAACTGGAAACTGTGATAAATGAAGACAGTTAAATCTAGGCTTAAACAGCTGTCGTTACAAGACGTGATCATGCGTTCGAACGCAACAGGATCTCATATAAAACGTGTGTTTTATTGGATATTGAAGCCGCGTTCGCTGGAAGGTCTTTTGATTTAGAATGATGGATGTCTTATAGGTCGGAGAGTGAGTCTCTGGGAGTAAATTTTTTTGCGTCGTGTGAATTTTAAGCGCCAACTTTTTCCATCAGGTTGTTGGAAAGCGACGCTTTATTGTAATAAAGAATTCTGTTTTTGTTTGAGGGAGACAAGGAGGAATTTGAATTTTGGAACAGTTGGATAAGTGCAAACTTTTGTCAAAGGTCGAATTGGAAGTTTATGGGAACAAATTGTTGACGCGAGAAAAGGACAAGATTATAGTGGAAGTTCGGATGAGATTAGCTTCTAGCGTGAGTAATAGCAAAAAGAATATCGAATGCGGGTGGCAAGATGTCGAGCTTTAACAATTTATAATTCCTCATAGACTATAAATAGTGCAATTGCAGCTTGTGGAGCCACTTCAGACGAGAGCTTTGAGTATTCAATTATAAAGGCATATCCCTCGGGACACAATATTCCGGACCCGTGCAAAGTGGCTGGATCATGATAGCTTAAGTTTTAATTAAGACACAACCTACATCAGGTGTTGGATGTCACGACGCGAGATTGTTAATCTTTACAACATGAGGTAATTAGAACTTAATGTTTAAAATTCATTAACTAGATGAAAGACTTTAATTAATTAACTTCTTTTAAACAGAATTAAAACCATAATTTTTTACTGACCGGTTACTCCCAAGAGTATTATTATTACATAATGCGGAGCTTAAGGGTATTAATTCCTCAGATTATTGAAATAAATCCCACTTGTAATTTAAAATATTAGCAGAAATATCTGTTCACCTTCTCCAAAAATTAAAAACATTGTTGAGTAAATTTCATTTAAAGTGTGGAACCCAAAACGTTCTCCATTTCTGATTTAATATTCCATCCCGCTTTTACCTTTACGAGTTAAAAAATTAATTGGTCCAAATTAAAAATGGTTCTTTCTACGGATTTTTATTTACTTGTTTCCGCCGCCGGCTTCAGCTTTACCTTTGTCAAACGTCGTCCATAAAATAAATCAGATTATGTTATTATGTTGTTATTTGTAATATAAAACTCATAATTTTTATTTTAGCTGGCGGAATTGTAGAAATACGTGTATTAAATGAGGTCCGAGAATAGCACGAACCGGAATCAGTAACCTGAAACAAGTAAATAAAAACCCATGAAAAGAATGAATGAAACGTTTTTATTTTTAGCCACTTGATATAAACTGCCACGACGATACAGAACTGAGTAAAATTGAAAACTTGTACGAAGTTGTAGCAATTTTTATAAAAAAATATTATTTATTTGTTGAGTTTTTAATTTCTTTTAAAACGAATTTTCAAGGAGTCTGATATGAAAAGGCGATTATCAATATCTCGGCATCACTTGCCAACAATAAAATAAATTGTGATCTTAAAATTCAGTTTAAAGATAGTTTGAAACATTTTACTCAAAATAAGACCGTCTAAAAAATAAAAAAGTTTAAGGCCGTTGAAAAGTTGAAAGGCCGAAATTTTACTTCATTTAAAAGTAAAAAAAAAGTTTAATGTCTAAAACATAACTATAACTAGGGGTGGATGAGATCTGGTTCAGCAAGAAAAATTTTGACCGACGCCTGAAAGGCCGAAATTTTACTAAATACATAAACTAATTACATAAAAGTATGGTAAAATTTGAGTTCGGGCACGCTTTTGGTGTACCACTGGTGCTGCTGGAAAATTCCCGATTTCCAGATGGCTAAATCCATCCCTGCCCGTAACGTCTTTGAAATAATTTGAATGAATCGCGGAAACTTTTTGTCTTTATTTGAAGTAGTTTTAAAGAATCTCGGGAACCTCTTTTGTTTTGTTTTTGAAGTAGTTTGAAAGAATCTCAGAAACCCCTTATGTCTGCTTTTTGAAGTCGTTTGAAAGAATGTCGGGGACCACTTTGTTTGGTTTTGAAGTGGTTTGAAAGAATCTCGGAAATCCCTTTTGTCTTGTTTTTGAAGTGGCTTGAAAAAATTTCAGGGACCCCTCATGTCTGCTTTTAGAAGTGGTTTAAGAGGATCGAGTGGTATTCATAATAATAAGCACTTGCTTTTTCTAGTATTTTTTTAAGGAAATCCTTCAATTTAGATTAATAAAATTTTCAGTAAATGCTTATAAGCAAAAGCTTAATCTTAGGTAACAAGTATAAGCTTTTCCTTCCATTAGTATTCAAAACAATCACCGTTTCCTTGACATATTAAGCATGTCCTTAAAAAAACGTAAGTCTCGTTCTTCAGTTCCTTATGACAAGTCTAGGAATGAAAATGTTTAATAAAGTAGTACGACAACAAAAATTTCATTTCGCTGACCCTCAGGAGGAAGATTTAAAAAAATTATTTCGCCTCCGATCAGAAAGTGTATGTAGCGGCTTTCTGAGCATTTTCTCCCAGAAATTGCAGAAATACGCAGAGGAGCAATTGATAATAGGTACAACAAAACTGAAATTTTTTCTGCGATTGGTTTTAGATACAGGTATATAATTATTATTTAAAAGTAGTGTTTTATCGTGAAAAGTTTTAGTAGATTAATTTCCCGCATTTCAGTTCTATGTTTATCTGTTTTCTTTATAGACACCTTCAAGTTATTAATATTTTTCAAAATTGTTTTTATTTCGGTACTTTTAGCCAAGTTATCCCTAAGTTCTTCCTTTGGTTTTTCAAGAGCTAAGTCTGTTTTGCCTTTGTTGATGGAATTTGACTTTTACTCAAAATGACTTCATTGGTTTTCATAAAATTTACAACAAACATTATTTATTTCTCTTCGCACCTAATTTATTTCTTCGTCGGAGGTGTTACTTGAGCTAAACATTTTGATAATATTCTACGTTTGCACTAGACAACAGCAAAATTGCGATTTCAAACAAAAAAAAATCGTTTCTGCTAATATATATACAATTGACTACGGTGGTGGTAAAGGTTTTTTTCTTATTTCTTGGAAACGGTCACGATGGAGTTCACTCAACTGATGGCAAATCCTTATGGCCTAAGTATTTCATTATGAATATAGAAATAAGCATTTGCTTTTAGTCGAACCTTTTGCTGATAAGGATAAGTAAAAGATTCCTTTTTTTTTTTGAAAGAATCTCACAGACCCCTCATGTCTGCTCTCGGGGACCTCTTTTGTTTTGTTTTTGAAATGGTATGAAAGAATTTCGGGGACTCCTTTTGTTTTGTTTTTAAAGTACATAATTTGAAAGAACCTCTGGAATTCCTTTTGTTTGGTTTTTGAAGTGATTTGAAAAAATCTCGTAAACCTCTTTTGTTTGGTTTTTGAAGTGGTTTGAAAGAATCTCTATAACTCCTTTTGTTTGGTTTTTGAAGTGGTTTGAAAAAATCTCGGGGACCCCTTTTGTTTTGTTCTTGAATTGGTTTGAAAAAAATCTCAGGGACCCTTCATGTCTGCTTTTAGAAGTAGTTTGAAAGAATCTCGGGAACCTCTTTTGTTTTGTTTTTGAAGTGATATGAAAGAATCTCGGGGACTCCTTTTGTTTGGTTTTTGAAGTGGTTTAAAAGAATCTCGGGGATCCCTTTTGTTTGGTTTTTGAATTGATCTAAAAGAATCTCGGGGACTTCTTTTGTTTGGTTTTTGAAGTGGTTTAAAAAAATCTCGGGGCCTCTTTTTGTTTGGTTTTTGAAGTGGTTTAAAAGAAACTCGGGGCCTTCTTTTATTTTGTTTTTGAAGTGGTTTGAAAGAATCTCGGGGATCCCTTTTGTTTGGTTTTTGAATTGATCTAAAAGAATCTCGGGGCCTTCTTTTGTTTGGTTTTTGAATTACTTTAAAAGTGTCTCGGGGACCCCTTTTGTTTGGTTGTTGAAGTGATCTAAAAGAATCTCGGGGACTCCTTTTGTTTAGTTTTAGAAGCGGTTTAAAAAATCTCGGGGACCCCTTTTGTTTGGTTTTTGAAGTGGTTTGAAAATATCCCGGGAACCCCTTTCGTTTGGTTTTTGAAGTGGTTTAAAAAAATCTCGGGGACCCCTTTTGTTTGGTTTTTGAATTGATTTAAAAGAATCTCGGGGAGCCCTTTTGTCTGGTTTTTGAAGTGGTTGAAAAGTGTCTCGGGGACCCTTTTTGTTTGGTTTTTAAAGTGATCTGAAAGAATCTCGGGGACTCCTTTTGTTTAGTTTTTGAAGTGGTTTAAAAAAAATCTCGGAGTACCCCTTTTGTTTGGTTTTTGAAGTGGTTTGAAAAAATCCCGGAAACCTCTTTTGTTTGGTTTTTGAAGTGGTTTAAAAGAATTTCGGGGCCTTTTTTTGTTTGGTTTTTGAAGTGGTTTAAAATAATCCCGGAGACCGCTTTTGGTTTGTTTTTAAAGTATGTAATTAGAAAGAATCACGAGAACTTCATGTGTCTAGTTTTTGAAGTAATTTGAAAAAATCTCGGAGTCCGTTATCAGAACAGTGATTATGTTAAGTTTAAGAAAACTAATTTATTATCTTATAAATATTAAAATTCACCCAACAGATATAAAAATTCATAATCCAGCACTTCATTTATCTGCAGCGACGACTGTTTGCCATCAGTTTTGACACAAACGAATACAATTTTAAATTATCCCACAAACCCTCGCGGATTAGTAAGTTTTAATTAAAGCCCAAAAAGTCGCATCACAAAATTAACGAAACTTGTTTGTGCATGTTAAACGATCAAAGCTCCTCTGTGGTGTTCGGCGAACAAAAAGCTCAAAAGCTCCATCGCGAAAGGTCAATTCCGGGGTTCCACGCTCCCGAGTTTATAATTCCGTGAAAAAAACGTGCACTCCAATTGCAGG